AGGAAATGTGAATAGCCCAGGGCAGAAGGGGAGATACCACAACTGTTTAACATACGTTTGGTCAAAGGATGAGCTTCACTTGTCTTTTTGACGAGTTGTAATATGGTGCTACGAATGGCGAGACTCACTGACGATTCCGGCGAAACGTCTGGGAATGTACCACGTTCTTACTCTGGAAATGATGATGCATACAATAGACTCCGGACTAGGCTTGTTTCCCTAAGTCTTCCTAAGAATATGACCAAGTTGCGAAAATAATGTCAAAAAACAGTTTTTAATTTTGCAGGGCATCAAATTATAAAAACTTATTCTCTGTTAGAGGTTTTAATTACTAACCTTTTATTAGCAATTTAATTAAGATATTTAAAAATAATTAATTTGACTCCCCTGCTAAGTTAATTTTAGTTTAGTACCCTTAAACTACTGTATGCGTATTTTAAATGCCCCTGCACACTTCTCAAATTCTTATTATTTTGCGACGGATTTTCCAGGTTTATCATTTTTTGATTAAATTGCCCATACTTTCCTCTGTATTCGCAAAAATACGTATATTCTTTTTTTCCTGATAGTTTATCGCTTTAATTACTATGAAGGTCATTTTGCCCTTATAATAGATCGCTCTTAATTCGCAAGCCCTCAGGCTGGGAGATGGAATTTTCATTCTCGAGTGATTTTGAGGTTCACTTTATTAAGGCTTTATTTGGCTATATAACCTTTTTTTTAGCTTTGGCTTCCGAGATATATTTTATTTATACATTCATTCATTTTATAATAATACACAATGACACTGTCTATTTGTTTATAAACTTCCATACATATTCTTACTCCCTTATGCTCGTATATTGTGCGATACACCCTCGTCATTTTACAAAAATGCTTAGGTTTCCCTCCAAAGGTCCTGTTCAGCTCGTCAGTCTCCTCTAACACGTTCCCGTTCGTCTTCGTCGTTTTCCGCATCCGTATCTCCTTCGTCGTCATCTTCAGTCTCTCCTATTGCAAACGCGAGATCCTCTTGTACTATATCTAACAGACTAGATCTAGCCACGCCTGCAGCATTATCAGATTTCCAAGCGGAAAAAGCCAAGTTTCTTGCCTGGCTGCCTCAGCAGTTGGCCAACCTCGCCCCTCCTGTCTCTAGTATTCCACTTTACGAGGTATTCTATGGCCCCATATCAGCTGCAAGACCGGATAGCAACCCATCCATACAACCTGATTCTATATGCCTCCCCAATACCAACCCCGAGAGAATAGACCTAGTCCATTCAACGAAGGAGGAGAAAGGTGTCTATGAAATTAATGTGGATGAAAAGAAGAAAGCAGATGATCTAGCAGATCAAAATACAGGTTCTGACAAAAGTGCAAGTAGCCTGTGCCATGGGCTAGGTCGCTCGACTCCTGGTAGACTGAGGTTAAGGCCGAGCAAAATAGTGGTCAAACCAAATGAAAAACTGGCAACACAAGCTTCACTACCTTCTTCAACAACGATACCCCCAGTAAAGGCTGCCGCACTTTCCACAATATCATACCCACCTCTCTGGTTGCGCAGGCTCAATCCTTCGATTTCTACGAGCCTGCACATGGCTCTGGTAGATCCGGGTTCTTATCTTAATGTAGGTCTACTCTTTACTGAAAGTTGCCCCTAATGGGGAGACTTATTATCTATTTTATCATATGTATATTTGGGAAAAAAGGAGCAATTCTTCACTTCCATGTAATTAATCTGTTGATAATCTTCTCATTTTTTGTATACAAATGGCCTGATATCGTTATTGCAACTTTGACTTGTTATCGTGCACGTACTTTATCTAAGTCCCTTGCCATAGTAGTTATGATAAACTCTGGTGTCGGACATTGGAGCTTGGACCAACTGTCACTGGTCCCTGTCAAATCTCGAGTAGAGGTATGGTCTAATTGGCCTTGAGCTACTATCCATAATGCCAGATTTATAGCGTTCTTATAACCTGGTCAATTGTATACGCTTACCTGGTTTGAGTAGACTCGCTGTAACCGTGGCCACATGATTTCCGAGTATCTCTTGTAAGCAATTTCTTATTTCTGTTTAAAACACTTTGCTGCGTTCATTTTATTTTTAGGTAATTCCACTTTTCCCTGACATACTGAGCTTACTTAAGCAATGAATAAAGTTTTCGCCAATTCTGCCTTCGTCCAGTCTCATCTTAATTAGATCCCTTTCCTTAAGGATATCAATCGTTTTTTATTTTGCGTTTTTTCGTATTCTCATATAAGACCGGTGTTTCTGTTGCATTCTAGATAATCTCGTGTCTTTTCTAAAGCATTTAAATATAATCATGCCTTTTTGGATATGCAATAGCGCAGTGTTAAAGTTTTGTTTTCTTATCCTAATTAGGATATAATTCACAATTACATGGCAAATAATTCATTGCAATAGATAGATCGACCATGAAAGTTAATCGTTTAAACACTATAGGATATTTCTGTATAACAATAACTGATAACAGCATAGAGTATATGTATTTTTGAATAAGATTTTGAACATTACGAATTTTCTTATGTGAACCTGCGCTATTGTCACCCTATGCCATTTGGCTTATTCTCGGCTCTTGTGAGCGTTAGATTTGGGTCGTGGATATGAAGCCCAAGATGGTGTTGCCTTCTGCTTCGTCACAGTCTCCTCTAGCTTTATAGTGTGGGTCGGCCTTGTTTTCGCAACTTGGTCGGAGCGTCAGAGAGACTTTGCGGAACGTACCTAGTCCCATGTCCTCTGTCATAGTATTCGTGATTTCTAGCATTGGACGATTGACTTATTACATTTCCAAACGTTTCGCCGGCATCATCAGTGAGAGGCACCATCTTAAGGACAGAGTTACAACGTATCAAATCGACAAATGAAGGCAATCACCTTGACCAATTTTCTGTTCAATCTTTGTGGCATCACTGCTCGCGCTTATGTTTTGTTATACCTTCTAGTGCCGCATCTCTTTATCTCAACCAACCAACCTCGAAGCATATGAATGTGTCTGTCTCTGTTTATGTATTTGCCCGTATATGTTCACATGTATACCAAAACAGAATTGCTGGCTCACAGTAATTAGGACATCAAAAGTAACGTCCCTTCTCGGCCATCAAGGTTTGATAGCCACCATCACCTCTGTATATATTTTAACCATCACTCCGATTGCACAAGGCCGGACACTTGTCTGGTTATATTGATGGGCTTTTTTGTCTTCATTTAAGAGAGAAAGAGTGGATTAAAAGTACAGAGAAATAACTTATTAGAACCTACACAAGAAAGCTAGTTGAATCACCTTTTTGCAGGCGGCTCAACACCTCTATCCAAAAGTCTAATAATTAAGCACAAATGTTTTTTACTTAACTTCTTGCAAGCATTCCTTACATTGAATTTTTTTCCTATCCGGTTTATTTCTATGGATCCTCTTATTTTAAGTTTATCCGTAAATATACCCTGATCAGTAAAACAAAAAGTCTGAGGCCATTCAATCTCGTGTACAGTTTCTGCCTTGTGCTTAGCCAACTCCGATTTTTGAACCCAACAGCCTCTGCAGGCGCTTTTGTGCTCAGACACGCTTTGTTAAATGTGACGACAAGTCTCTCCAACATAAAAGCGATCACATGAACACATTAATTAGTGGCAGCACGATCTGAATAATTTGTCATCTTTCATTCTAAGAGTGGGGATAACCAAAGAAAGTGTTGTAGTTTCCCTGAAAATCGTTTTTATTCTTCATTTCCTTGCCAGTTTGCCTATCCTCTTAGAGATAATACACAAAGGCAAAGACAAAACATGAGAAAGATCTAATTATTTATCCTTTCACTCAAAATGTAAGTAAACTAAACAATTATAAAACAAGACATTCCTCGAAACCAATTTTTCCTTCGTATATATAGAAAATTTCCAGGAGAAAAGCTTTGGCTTTAAAACTTTTATTTTCAATATATGTCCACCATAAATTAGCGAGTATCGAAAACACAGCTGTGAAGAAGCTGGCAAAGGAATGTTAGCCTCATGATTAAGCTATAAATTTCATGCCATTTTGTTTTTTTTATGGAAAGTTAGGCGTTTACGATTAGCAGACTGACCTTATGTAATCGTGGAGAGATTGTCTTAAGATTTGAATGTTGACTTGGGAGCAGAGGTCCTAGGTTCACCGTCCTGGAGCCCCAATGAATGCCTTATGGGCTTTGTTTTTTTCATTTGACGGGAGTAGTCAGAGCAAGAAACCATTGCGTGCTGCAATAGTACTTACTAATTTTCATATTTTAGTACCATCCTAAGATTTGGTTGGATACTTTATGAGCTTCCCTACTTGCATGCACAGTAAAGTTGCTGTACGGACTGCATAAATATGTGGCAGGGAAGACAGCATCGGATTGGAGCTAAGGTCTTCACATTAACCCTGGAGGCTATACTCAATGGTCCATTAATAAAATCTACCGATTTTTTTTAGAGATATTGTTTAAGTCAATTTTGATGTTTTGTGCATTATGCAACCCTTATCATAGGCAATAATTCCAAATGGGAGCCCCCTTTATGAATTTAGGACTGATCATAAGCATTCGGAGCCCATAATCTCAAGCTCTTTGCTACTTTAACACTTTTATAGCCAACTTTTGTGGCCAGACTTAACCTTTAGTCTTAATATGATGTTTCACCTTGTCAAATTTTGAACAAAAAAAGACAAGGATACAGCTGTTATTTTACTTCTTTCTTTAATTCATGCATCGAGTTTATTCGTCTGCAGTACGTAATGGGAAGCATGAAGTTGCCAATCAAATGTTTGGATATATAAAGCGATAGGAAAATTGGTGATAACTAACGTGTATGTGGCAACAGGCTGCCTTTATTGGTTGTGCTTCATTAATATTTTATGAATGTTTTCTCGCTTTGACAGTCCCTGACAAGTAAATGCGTTAACTATCGTCCATTTAAAGCTTGTGTCATCTAAACCAGTGACAATAGGGCTTAACATTGTCATATCATTACCTTACTTATTGTCCTTGAGTTTTTGGAGAAGTACTCTATAAGATGCCGACTTTGAATATAAACCGAATTCGAATTCCGATTTGTTCATTAATTACACGAAACTAGCTCCTGGATTAGTTATTTGATACTGAAAACCGCTTTCTACCGCGGTGTAGTATACTTTTTCATATTTTTTCGTTAATAATGCCTATCGGTTTATTTGTCGTTTTTCTGTTAAGATTAGTGTTGCAATTTATAAAAGCTTTTAGAATAGCAATTATTTCTTCATCTGAATATAGATTTATTATTTATCCGTTCTCTCTCTATAATAATATAATAATCTTTCTTTGATATAGGATAACATTAGTGTTACAACAAAGGAAGCATCTGCAAAAGATTAG